TGGTTCTTCTGGTTCTTGAGGCTTGAAGGCTGTCCACAAGATACGGTCCGCGGCCCAGGAACTATGGCGTCGCGAGTTGAGGGGTTGTTGCAGAGGCCCAGCACCCACCCTCATTGTACAGAACCTGATCCCTCTTGGTCGGTCCTGTATCTGGCCCGATGGAATGATTTGAGGGTACTGAAGTGAACTGCGTATTTGTAGGGTAATGCGCTGGCTTGTGTTGGTTTTTGACTATGCACTCGAGTCCTGTCACCACCAACACGCCATGTCGTGTTGAGGAATGGCTTGCCAAAGCGACAAGCGACAGAATAATCTCATAATTTGTGCGGGGGATGTGGTCCTCATTTGGTGTGATGAATGCGAGAGCTTGAGTAACAATAGTCCACAACACCCGTGGAGCTCTTATATTAATCATAGAAAAGTGCAGGTGTGCTCCGTACAAAGTGCACTATAGGTAGTTCTCACAACAGAGTGGGCATACGGATCCTTAAAGACGAAAATCAAAGAAAAAGTTGGTAAATTTAGTGTCGAAAACCTTTCCTCATTTGATTCTGCAGCTTCGGTTTAGTTGCCTCTGGGTTCTGCCCACGAGACACTGAACCCTGTACTTCGGATTCAGGCATGTTTCTTGATTTATATGAGCAAATTAAAGCTGATCTGATATCTACTAAACACTCCTCTGTTGGTTGTTCTTATTTACCATTTTAGTGATGAAAAAAAGTCCCCGAAAGATGCCAAATGGTACCAGGACACTATTAACACACCAAAAATCACCAACCTCTTCTCAATCTCTACCTAGGTAACATTAACCATTAACCACTAACCCACAGCTCCGGCCCTTAAAATTGAACCCCGGCACTCAACTTTTTCTGGTTTTTCGTGGACCATGGTGCCACGGAACCCACCTGCCCCCACTGATTCAAGCGTCTGGGGTTCCGGGGGCAACTTGTCCGAATCGCAACGTTCCAGATCCGACATCTTTCTGGATCTACGCGGTCACAAGGAAATCTTGGGTTACTAATTTTGGTCATTCCGTAATCTTACATACATTGGGTAAGATTCTGGGGGGTGTTTCGGAATGGAGAATAGAAAATGGAAAGTTTGGCGGAGGTGCAGCGTGTGGTGGAAAGATGGGTTCATCGCACTCGAATTTAAGGGTCGCTGGGGGGGGGGGAGGGGGAACTAGAGATTTAGCTTTAGCTTTAGCTTTAGTTTAGATCGTGAACAGTACCTTATTGCTTTAGCCAGGGCTTAAGCTTGGAATTGGGTTTGCGATGAGCTCGGAGAGCATCTACAGAATTTAGAATTCCAAGCGTCGCAAGAGCGCGCTGAGATCCGATTGTAAGCGCATTTTCAAGGCAAAACCAGAATTGCTAAAGAGGTTCTGTAATTTGACGCGAATGTTTGGCTGTGCTTGTGTTAGATGTTGCATATGACTAAAGTGAGGATGCGACGAGTCAGTGTTGAACTGGTTGCAGGTTCGTGATTGGCGCCAGGTGTGATGATCACTCGATGACGTCAGAGTGATCTGATCACGTACTTTTTGCCGTGAATGGGTCAGCTGATCTACCCATTAATGAGACCTAATCTGACGATCAGGATCTGGTCGATACAGGGATTGGTGTGGATGAGGAGTCTAGGAAAATTAAGATACATTCGAATTATCTGGTTGACTTCTTCGCTGTGATGGATCGTCTGGCAGCATATAGAGCACATGTGTGTATCATATAGAACGGTGTTAGCCATCCGATTGGACTCATCAGTGACGAATGCCAGTAGTGATCACAGCGAGAGACAGATTGTTCGCAATGATTGGGTGGATTAACACGTAGGCTCTCGGAAAGAAATTGGATTGTTGGTGACACTGGCCACTCTTGCCCCTCCTTGCTACGACAGACCCAATTTGATTTCCAGGGGTAAAACCGCAATCGAATCAGGTATCAGGATAGCAAAGAGTTGAAGAGGCGAGTGCCTGGGCTGCTGTCAGCTTGGGGCTAGACACTCAGTCGGAGTGTAACCGTCAGTATTTTAACTGAATCCTGTGGAAAGATGAACATAGCTCTATTCAATCACATTTAACTGGATTCACATTAGCACTGTATTTATTGTGGGCTGCAAAATGGTAAACAAAATTCATTAACCACGGAAAGGGCATAGTGTGGAGGAGGCTGAGTGATTGTATAAATTGTTTAATGTACAATTTAATACAGCCTGATATGCCAGTAATACCAAACCAATACAATGAGATCTACTCCGTGCTTCATATGAAGTAGATATTTAGTAATTTGAAGAGAGTTGCACTATCTCGGATGATCAGCTCAGGTTGGTATGACTTTATGGCTTTCTACAGGCGTTCCTCGGTCAGTCATTTACAAAAGATTTTGTACCCCGTACTCTGTACTGTAATTAATCCCCGCTAAATAACTTTACCAAGACCGAATTGAGTTCTGGAGGACCGTGGATAGAGATTTAGTACCTCGTGTGCTGGTGGGGCAGAGAACGGGCCTTGCCTGACGATCCAGTCTCAACTTACGAGTAGTACGGAGTACGGAACGTACATCGTACACAGTATGTATACCCCAATTTTGCCCTTGAGTTATCTGTTCCTCTCTCCCTCTCTTGCATATATCTATTGTTCCTCTGTGATATCGCGCTGGTGCGTTAGGAATTCGCGCATATGCATATCTCGTCATCATGGTGCACGCCCTAAATGGACATTGCCCAGCTCCATTCTTACAGGAGACGCTATTCCCTGCTGTCGGGGGATTTATCGATGGTCGCTATTGCAAGACGATCACTTTCGACAATAGCACGTATTCCTGTTGCTTGCCATGTCCCCTCGCTGAGTGGAGATATGACTCTGGTGAGTTCTATGATTTCCAGGCCCGTTCCAATGCCTAACGTGCTCAGACTTGCCCGAAAAACTCAGGATCACGAGTTGGATCGGCGTCGCCATTCTCCCTCTATGTTTCTTCTTGTTGATTTCCTACGCCGTCCTACCTGCCAAATGGACTCATCGTCATTATCTGAGTGTCTGCTTTACGCTGGGCATTTGTTGCATGGAGGCAAGTTGGATGCTGGTGTGCGTTACGAGCTTTTATGGCTAACTCCGATCTAGCTCGCCTTTATCATACCCCTCGGTGCCAGGCCAGACCAATGCCACAATGCAATTACCCCCAATGACATGCGCACCAATCTTTCCTGTGCCTTCTCCGGATCCTTATTGTTATTCGGTGGCTGGCTTGTGGTCATATGGAGTTTTATCCGTACATTGGCCTTCCACCTACAAGTATGCTGGGAAATGGTTCTAGGACCGAAATTCATGTGGACTGCCTTTGCTTGCGGATTGGGAATCCCAGCAATCGGATTGACAGTTATGCTGATACTGACTGGAGTATCATTCCGATTTGGCGATATCTGCCACATCAACGTGACGAATGGACTATACGACTACTGGATCCCAGTCATGGTCTTCGCCGTCGCAGCCCTCTTCCTCCAGCTATCAACGATGATTTACTGCACCCACATCTACCTCCGCTCCCTCTTCGACAAATCCGCCTCAATGTCAGGCAGCTCCGGTCCCAACCTCGCCTCCTACACAGCCAGCATCGGCACCATGACAGCCCGACAGGCCTACCGGCGCGTACGTCGCGTCCTTGAACTCCAATGGCGCGGTATCGCCCTCACATCAATCATTCTCGGCAACGTGATCTTCTTTGCAGTCGTCTTTATAAAACTCGACAACGCCGTTGCACCAACAGTCGAAAACATCAAAACCGCAGGCCCCTGGCTAGTTTGCCTCGCCGAAACCGACGACAAGGATCTCTGTCGCGAACACACCGCAGCCATCGGCCCCAACGAAGCAACCCTACTGGCACTCGTGTTTCTGCTCTCACTCGTCGGCTTTTGGAATTTTATCCTCTTCGCGCATCCATCCATGTTCGCCGGCTGGCTGGATCTATTCCACCGCAAAATGAGAAACCGCAACGAGTTCGTCTCTGCAGATGCGACTACCCGATTCGTCGACAACAAAGGCTTCGAAATGCTGACTACATCTGTGAAATCACCCGATGCATGCATGTGCTCGCCAAGTCCTCCCCGAATAGGCGGGCATGGCCGTGTTGATTTTATGCGCTCACCAAGCCCCACACAAATGGTCGGGCCTGACCGTAACGCTTCTATGCCCTCGACGAGCCCTATGCAGATGACTGGATGTGGCCCGAGTCCGATGGCCAGTCCAAGTCCAAGCTCCGAGTGCAATGCTCATGTCGCCCGTGAGGCTCGCTTTGTGCGTCCCTCTTTGAGCTTTTCCGGGCCTAGGCCGCCTAGCTCGTTACAGGGTGTACGCGAGTGGGATCCTCAATCCACGTTTGCGTCAGTATATGGGCGAGAACGAGTGTAATGTTACTGAAATACGGTTTTTATGTTTGATCCCCCCTTTTTTTTTCCCTGGATGTTCTAAAATCTCTAGCGGGGTTCCATTTATCTGTCGCAACTTTGACCTAAACTCAACTCCCGTTTCTGAAACATGAGAGGCCCAATAAGGAATTGTTGAGGGGATATTCTAGGGTTTTAGACACGGTGTTGCAGGAGATGTTTCACTGTTTCCTGGTTGGGCGTTTGTGATTTTTGCAATTCCCACGTGTGCGTGTTAGTGATGTATGATGTCAGTCTATTTTATGATTGTACTTGATTCCCCTTTAATACAAGATTATTCTGGAATCTTTCCTCGATCCACAGTTCCTACAAGTTCCAACACCAAATACCGATCATCGAGTCTAGTCTATTACCATCACAATCGCCCCATTGTAATCTCGATATAGCGATTCACATTGCACCCGTCTCAATCTCAATCTAACTTCCAGCTTCGGCAGTTCACTCGGGTCCCCGCATCGGTATGCCCGTGAGTGTGACTACGATCGCAACGATATACTTCCATGACTAGAACTTCAATTATGGACCTGCCCGGTCGTACACATAGAACACCACAAACGTCAAAACTCCGCATGCTCACCCAGTAAACGGGTCCCACAATAGGCGGCCTCAGTGCCTACTGTGTACTCCGTACGGACACCAATACCCGGGGCGGCACTAATTCCCCTGCCTAGCGCACGTCGGGAATACGACGGACCCCACTAGCTTTCCGACCTGCAGGAACGGCGGTTTTGCCTCGTTAGGGCTAGTGTTTCGACATAGTTTTAGCCTCCAGTGCGCGTATCAACAAGAAACATCTAATTATATTTTATTAACCAGTTGGATGTGAGTGTGAGGGTTTAATTTACTACCGAAACCTTCCTGTGCATAATACATATTGACATCCTCGTGAGACTTTCAGAGAACCCTTCTATATTGCGACCGGATGCATCCGGTGGAAACTCCCCGACTGTGCAGCTGTAACCCCCAGATTTAGTCATTAGGCGAGATTTGTTCAGTCCAAGCTTGGAGGGTTGTCCCTACATTAGAGCATTCTTTAACTTGCGTGGTTGAATGGAGAATTTTCAGTCTTCTGGAGTCCTTATAGGCGACCACATTGGAGGCCCTGTGTACTCCGTAGAGATGTATAGATAGGTTCTTGGATCGGGAAGTTTATTAAATGGTATACGTTGGATAGTGGTTGGAGTAGCTACGTAGTGACTAGCGTTATACATTTGTCCAAGTTTCCCCGTTGGTCTAAGATACCAGATGGCACGTACCGAGACACGCTATCAACTTAATTTCCAATTGAACTCCTTTTTCAAGATTCTCCGTGCATCACTATGATCTATGAATTTTGGCCTCGGGAGTGACAAAATGCAAGGATCCATGGATTGTGAACCCTCGGCATCCTAACTTCGGTAAATCTATCCAGCGATCCAATCATGGAAATTCCATGTCCTTCATTGTAATTGCTCTAGTTAGGTTGATCCGAAAATCTTACCAGGTACATTGTGTGCAGTAATCTCACGAGAAGTCCCCGTTGCGAGGTTGATCGATCGAGGTAGTATGTTGTATGCTCCCCGGGACTCGACAACGGGATTTAAAGAAGTCAACTTACGGAGCTGATAAACGCCGACTCTACTTAATCTATACTTCCTGGTATCTAAGGCTGTTCAAAAGCCAGGAGAACGATTACTTCGGCATTTATCGCACTTGGGGTGGGGTTGGTGTTTTTAGTGGCGCACAGCCAGCTTGGTACATTACACACGGTTGCAAATTTTGCATATTTCATGGCAGAAAGAGTTCAGAATGGATGTTGGAGATGTATTTACAGGTGGAAAATGATGTGGAAGAGGGCCTAGCTGGATTCCAAGGTTGCCGCTAGCAAGCAGATGGTCGGAGGTCTGCCATATGATTTTCAAGTTCCGGAAAAACTGTGCCTTGGGTTGTTTAATGGGGGTTGAAAGGTTATCTTCTAGACCGATTTAATCCGGGGGCATACAGCTGAAAGAAACACGGAATACGTTGTACACAGCGCGTTGTCAGAAGATGCCCACGCCGTTTTAGTCCGTGCCCACAGCATCATGGAAACACTTCAGGGACGTGGGGACTTTCATATGGGCGTAAATTAACACATCGGACCTGAGATAGTGTCAGTAGTCCTGAGTAGTTGTGTAGGAATTGAATGTGTAAGTCAATACCGACGTCAACAATCCCGGTTGTTATTCCAGCAAGACAGCCCTAAAGACCCTGGTTTTCTTTCTTTGTTTCTCCAATGAATAAATCTTTATCATTCTTGCTCGGTTTGGACCCCACGAAGCTTGCATAGAAGTGGAATGTGAGGAGATCTTCGATTCACATTCGTAGAATTTTTTTTTTTTTCATGGAGGTCGTACATGGTACGCAGATTGCATCGAGTGGGAGCAACGAATCTGGGTTTGAAAAGGCTACCTCTTGTTGTCCCCTGGAATTCCGTCATCCCAACATCGATCAAGCTTGGCACTTGTTTTCAAGATTTGCCTGTCAGGCATGCACGCCTAAAAAAGAGCCGGGCCATCTGGAGGTTAGCTTTTATGGATGTAGATTGCCCTTACTCAGATTGGGTAATTTTTCTGATTCAATTGCTATGTGCCTTCTAGACTCGGTGATTGCTACGCCGGAAAACCAAAGTTTGGGAAGTGTCCATAAGAATTATTTAGTTATGGATGCCGAAGATAGCTCGCTTCACATTTTGAGCAACGTTTAGCAACAAGTTCTGAGCGTGGTTAGGGCTCGACAGTAGAAGAGTATCTGCGTTTGGCGACGAGGCTTTGGTGCATGTTAAGCGTCGGCTATTGGAACTCTTAACTGAGTATTTGGCAATGCCAACCCGTACATGGAGTACTACGTCGCTAGTGAGCGGATTAGCCATGCTAAATAGGGATAAACCCCACGAAATACATTCCCAAGGCTGCGTGGTCCGAGTTTAGGTCTTCCACCGGGATCTGGATAAATATACCCGAACGAGCTGGCTCAAGCTGGAAAACCATGCTGATTGTCGCCAAGCACGTTTTAGTTGACATTTGTTTTAGAAAAAAATCAATTGATCTGTCAAGATCTTCTTCATTACTGACACCTGAACTATTGGAAAATCCTGCAAGTGTGTGCAAATGGCCGTACGTTAGTGCTGAAACTGGATCTCCTCAAGCGGGTCGGTCACACCGACTCGACTGGAGGTTAACACAAACAGAAAATAAGTTCAAATAGTAGACCAAAAACAGAAGTAAAGTAAAATGTGAAATTGAAGCTAAAGAAGCTCTATATAGATGCAGATAAGGAATTGCATCATCCCGAATACTCGACGTCACCATAGAAGGCGGAGAGAGAAAAAGGGAAGCTCAGTGTGCCAACTCGGTCTCCCCGCTCTCCCCAGCCACCGTCTTATCTGTCGCTTTCCACATTTTCAGCTTTTACCTTTCCCTTCATTTCGATTCAATTTTAGCATTCAACATCTCCATCTGGCATCCGGTGGCAAAAGACATGGCTCCTCTTCCTCCCGCAACCTTGCCTCTGGCCGAGAGACTCAAGGCCTTAGCGCAAACCCTACAGTGCGTTTTTCTACTCCGATGCTGAAGCGACGCTTCCATGCCTTTTTATCAATACTAACGAAATGCCACGTTTCAGGTTTGCCTGGTTCGTTGGGTAGGTCAATCTACTAAAGCGCACACTGAAAAAGACCTGAATTTCAGGGCCACTAACAAATGCTAGACATGTGACACTTTTGCTCTCCGTCTTCCGCTACTCCCTGTCTTGCATATTCTTCAACTACTACTCCTCCTCGGCGCAGATCGCCTACCGTTTGACATTCATCTCGGCAGCCGTGACGTATGGAATCGTCGTGTACAAGGGCCACTTCGCCCGGGGTGTCCAGGGTACCCCTCTGGCAATTGCGATGAAGCTTATTTCCGACGAGAATGTGCAATACTTTGGTGAGTAATCCGCGATGCGACGGTCCAAAATCTGAGCTGACTCGAATTCTAGGAATGGCTCTGGTCTGGCTGTACTCGCGCCAGCTCATCCTGGCTCTTCTGCCTTTCAGCGTCTACTCGATCTTCCACGTCGCAACCTACAGCCGCATGTACTTGATCCCCACGCTGCAGCCCGCTGCTCCGGCCACCCCTGCCTCTCCCACCTCCCCCAACTTCAAATCCGCTGCCAAGCAGTCTCCCCTGGCCGAGACCATTGGACGTTTCATCAAGCAATACTACGATGCCAGCATGGGTGTTGTTGCGACTCTCGAGATTGCTCTGCTGTTCCGCCTTCTTCTGTCCGCTATAACCTTCTCAAATGGCAGCTGGGTGCTCCTGGCTATCTACCTGTCTTTCTTCCGCGCCCGCTACGCCCAGAGCTCCTTCGTCCAGCAGGCTGTCCGCCAGCTCACCGCCCGTGCTGACGCCACCATCTCCCACCAGAGCACCCCTCCTCAGGTTCGCCAGGGCTGGGAGACTATCAAGGGTGTTGTGCGCAAGGGTTACGAGGCCACCGACATTGGCCGCTACATCTCTGGCCCTACCGCTGCCAAGAAGCCGCAGTAAATTTCTTTATGGTGATGTGCCAGACACCTTGCTTTGCAAGCTGGAGCTCATGATGTCAGGAAAGGACGTGAGCTTTCGGCTTGCAAGATTGCTGAGCGAAGATGGCTAGCGAAAGACGTAATCTTCCAGCTTTATCTTTCCTTATTGGCATGTTCCCGCCTGGGCGAAGAACATGGAGGATCTCGGAGTATGGGACGCCCAGGTCTTGACTGTAGAACGAGGCGGACGCGGAGGAATTCCTCCATGATGATGCTACACGCAACGACTTGTGTTTAATATTTCTAGAGTGTTGCGATGCATAGTTTTTGTATTTGCTTTCCTCTTGTCAACATACCTTGTTTCGGATTCATTTCATTGTTTCCAACCCTCCTTTTTTCGGATTTATTCCATTGTTTCAATTTAATTTCTTAGTGATCCGTTGGATCTAGCAACTACCAAGGCAAAGGGCACGCCGGAATGGCTGGGAACAAGGTATACTATAATAGTAAAGAACTGTTAGCTGCTTCGAAAATGTAGCCTGGAAAGGCAATAGAAAGATGTGTAGGTTATTAAACTACAACCCAAGCCTCCTGGGCCCTACGCACTATGGCACAGAGGCTCTTCAGCGCTAAGGCCATGAGAAGCTCCTAGCGGGGTGGATTAGCCGGAAATCTACTTCCTCTAACTAGTCATTTCCTAGATTTACTTTCTAGCTATAGGATCCACTTGATGATACTTTAATTGTGTTTAGATTGGTTTTATAAAGTAACTACGTCTTGTGAAATGCACACTCAGATTACCACTTTCTTAGTACTAGCAAGCTTTTGGTATAATTTTAAACCAGTTCCTGTCATTTAGTATAAAATTCCATATTTACTTGTAGCAATTTAGTCTCTAGTGTCTGTAGATAACATCCTTTCTACCCTATGAATTTTCTAGCGTACACTAGTTGCATAGTAATCCTAGAAGTCTGCCTCATCGCTACTCGCCTGTGATGAACTATGTCAGTGTAAATGAACTATGCCTAGATAGGAGGCTAGATTTTCTGTTTAATATCCATAATTATCTATTGAATTAATTTTGTAAATCGGCGTTTGGACCAAAGTGATCAAGTAGAAAATTCGTAGCGAAAAAAGCAGAGGAGAGGAGACGGGGAAGCCAAGGCTGTGCCCAGCTAAGAATTCAGATGGGCAGCGTCAAAGGGGTCATTGTGACACAAAAAAGAATTCGAAATGAGTAGAACACTGGCATCCAGGTAGGAAATACAGGTGTTGATTATTTTCTTTGTCTTTCTGGGATGTCAGAGCATTTCAGGCCCCATAGAAGGCTGGTGCTAGCGGTGTCATGGTCGGCGATGATGAAGCGGAAGACCAAGTTGACAGATCAGTCAGTCAAGCTGGCATTGTCCCTCATTCTCTTGTGCTAAAGAAGTGATCTTACTTCATCAATCATACTGTTTTGAATCAACCCGCGGCTCTCTTCCATCCTTCTCGGAATAATTTCGCTCTTGGGGAGACAATATTCTCGACCGCGGAAAGAACCCTATCATTATCATTTTGCATCAGAATCCTCACCGTGGCCGCAAGTACCTTCGTGCTTTTACCATTTTCACAAGCTGAGCAGTCTTGTGTCCGTTACACCGGCTCACCACCAGCATGTGAGACCGGGGAATGGCGACTGCTGCAGATCCCTCAACAATTTCGGCCAAATCCAGGAGGATGCCATGTGATTTGCAGAAGTTGGCTAGGATAAAAGAAAGACCTGACCCCCGAGGGACGCAAGAGCACCTGCACGAGCGGGGCCTATAGTGCCTTTGTTTGGTTACGAAGCCAAGCGACCGCCTCCCCAGTTTTGGTTGCATAGCGTCGCATAGCGTCGCTTAGCGTCATGTTTCCTAGCGGAGCATGGGTGGCATGCTGGTTACGGGAGATTCATGGAAAAGGCGCTGGGAAGAAGGTGTGGTGCAAAACAGATTGATTCAAGACTATGGTAGATAGCAGCAAGGCAAGACTAGATTGGGCTGTCGACGATGGCATCGTGGATCTAGAAACGTCTATGGCAGCCGTTACAACAGCACACCAACAGGTTGATGAGAATACCTCAAAATATTATCACACAAGTGCAGGAAATCAGGATGATACATCGCACTCTTGGTCACCCGCAGCACTTAATAGCCAACCTAACTTTTTATCGGAATTCATCACTGGGCATAGAGTTATATGTAGTGGACTTACTCCACTACAATAAAAAGTGACGAATTCAAGGTCCGACCGATCGATTTGTGTAGTTCGATAATAACTGTTCAAGTGTTCGTGCCAAAACAAAATTTGTTGGCCCCATTGTCCCTTGGTGGCCGAGTGCCATAAATACCCAAATGTAAATTCTGGGAATGAAGGGTGAAGGGAGACTAGTGTAGCCGCACGCGCGTGTTAGCTCTGAAACCTCACATGTAGCGATAACTGCCCTAGAAGATGTCTATTTCGTGCCTAGTTGTCTGATAGCTATTTACGTCTCACACTCGATTCAAACTGTTGCCTTCAGGCCGAATCACTGAAGGTCAACCCCTTGGCAAAAATGCACAGGAAGGTTTAAATCTAAATCTACGGAAAAGGCCATGTCCTCCCAGAGGTGGTCGGCTCTCCTCAGTTCCATATCCAAGCCAAAAGACGACCGCAAATCATCCATCGCAGTAGTCTGTGGGACAGAGTCCAAATTAGACGAGAGAAGAGGGGAAGCGTTGGATGTTTTGCAAGATTGTTTCTGCTCAACACGTTGCCCGCAGTCCTGAGGGGATTGGGAATTCAAAGCCTTGTCCAATTTAGATAGGAATAAAGAGGCATGTACTTGTTCGACCAAGCGAGTTAATGATTTGGCTCCCACCTCGGCGAGAACACTGCCCTCGGCCAGGATCTTCATACTAAGCAGGGCATCATTCAAGGCCTGGATGCATCGTTCCAGGCTGATATCGGCGATGATAGCTAGCAAGGAATCTTTGCAACATGGATGTGGACATAAATGTTGTCTAGCTCCTGCTTCCAGTGACAATTCGTGTTCAGCTCCCCGTCCACTTCCATCGCCAGGTTTTGATGATATACTGCGTCCATCCTGGATGTCGACAAGAATAAGACTTCCTAAAACAACGCAAGCCTCAAAAGTAAGGAAAGAGATCAATGACAGCCGCGTGTGGCTTTTCCCCAGGAGGTTATGCAGCTTTGAAATGCTGTCCAAAATTCCGAGAGCAGATCTCGCAAGAATTTGTCGATGGCTGCACAGAAGTGCTCGCTTATAACGCGGTAGGGATTGGATTTCGCCTGGGTCTAGAAAAAGTAGAGGGCGAAAATTATGAGAAATCGAGTCGAAGAGCGCGATTGAAAACAATAGTCTTTGGTGACGGAGTAATGGGAGACGGTCATCCCATCGAGTATCCGGACTTAGAGCCAGTGGGGCTGGGATGCTGGGCATGAATTGGGTGCAGAATTTCTCATATCACTCTTCTGCGGCTGCTAGATCGTATGTCGATGTTTCAGATGTTGCGTTATACACCTCTTCCCAGTATCGGACCAGCCGAGCCTGAGTGAGCCTTTCATGGAAAGGCTCTGGTGCACCTGAGCCTTCTGAAGTTCCCACGACGCCCAATCGCACGTTGGGAAATTCGATTATGCAAAATCCTGAACTCAAAAAAGGAACTCGATCTAGAGATCTTGCGAGACGTCTATAATTTGATACAAAGTTAGGTTAGTGGACACAACAGAGTTCTTACCTTTAACATATTCAGTTATGTTAATAGCTTCATTAAGTTTAGTAAGTGGTGTCTTCCTTCACGTGGAAGAAAACTGCAATACCTGTCCCAGATATAAAGATTGCATAGAGTTCGTCTCCGCATTTCTCTCTCTAGCTCATTCATCTGAACAGATGAAGATCTTGCTGGTAATTGATACAGACCTGTCAGCTGTGCGGCTTTGATGGCATCGCAAAGACTCGACCATGACTTTGTCATATTCCCATCACATTCATGTCGCAATACCATTTTTCAGCTTTGTATCTCAAGAAAATGTCGGATGCGGTGGAAGGAGAGTCTCCAATCCGGGCCTTTGTCCGAGGCACAGCCATCAATGCAAATGGAAGAACTGGTGGGATTACACACCCAAGCAGAGAGGGACAGGAGACGGTCATTCGACAGGCGTATCAAAATGCTAAGTTGCCTTTGTATGATACCACTTATTTTGAGTGTCATGGCACGGGAACTCCGGTAAGCTGGTCATGTTCATTTTTCCCATTCGCCGTCATTGATGTCAGAAGACTGAAAACTTACATATAATAGTACAGGTCGGAGGTCCAATCGAGATATCTGCTATTGGAAACGTTTTCTCGTCTGTGAGAGGCATCGATGATGCACCTTTGATTGGATCTATCAAAACCAATGTCGGACACACCGAAGCCGCCAGTGCTATCGCTGGAATCATGAAGGTGGTAGTGGCACTAGAGTCAGGATTTATTCCCCCAAGCATAGGGGTAAGGAATTTGAACCCTAAAATCGACTTCCCAGGCGCGAATGTGGAAGTTTAAAGGGAAGTCACCCCATGGCCCGCAGGTAGGTAGTAGGTAGGTAGATTTGATTAACGTCCGGCAGGGAGCAAGCTTTCGCTTGCTCCCGCGACCTCCCATGGGGTATTGGGACGTGCAATGCTATGGTTTCTATAATACAAAGATCTTTTTCCACAGATTGCAGTTCATGCATTCGTAAATGCGAGGGCTGAGTAGCCAGTTGGTGACGGCTGTCTCCGACGTGTGAGCCGGCCATCATGGGGGTGAGGGTCCC